CACTGGAGGAGGGGGAGGAAGTTTTGTTTATACTACAGCTGATGTTCTGTTGCTTGCTGCCGGAGGAGGAGGAGGTGCATCGAGTGGATATAATGGTGTGGATGGTCAGGCGGAATCAAATGGTACCAGTAGTGTAGGGCAGGTTTCGTCACAAGTTCGAAATGGAGGCACAGGTGGGCAGCCAGGTGAATGCAACAGTGAGGGCGCTAGCTATCATGGAGGAGTGGGAGCGGGTTGGTTTGGTCAAGGTTGTACCCGACTAAGCTTCTCCGATGGGGAAAGAGGTGGATCACGCGCTGAAGGCTGGATCGGAGGTCAAGCCGGAGGTATGAATAGCGGTAATAACGGGGGCCCTCCACCAGGAGCAGTTGGTGGGTTTGGTGGTGGGGGAGGTGGATCAGAGGATAATGGTGCATCAGGCGGAGGTGGTGGGTACTCTGGGGGAGGTAGCGGTACCCATGCGAAACAAGCCGGAGGTGGAGGAGGCTCGTACTGTAATGGCCAAGATTGTTCCAGTTTGACTGGTGGGAACTCGAATGATGATGGCCTTGTGCAAATTACAGAATTGTTGGGCTGATTCCAAGACATATCTTGAATATTACAGTTGTTTTTCAAAAACGGATTTTCTATATTACTAGAAAAAGTAGTTGTGGTGGTAACTGCAGAAGTTTTATGTACATTCAAATCCCTTGTTCCTTTTTTCAGTATGAGATGATAAGAATGCTCTTCCTCCGGCTAGGTATTAAAAAGGTCACCGTCTAGGATCATGATATTTAACACCCCAACCCTTAACATCCTGAGATTTGATAAAACTTTTTAAAAGTTTACTTGTAAGAGTGTGTTCAAAAACCTTTATAGAGTTAATAATTTGAAGGGAACTGTCCAATGAGTTCCATTTATTAACTATCCTTTTATAGAAAGTTCTTTTTTTAATAGTAAGCACTTCAGAACTGGTCCCGAGTAAAACAAAAGGAACGCTTCACAGTAGGTACAGTCGTCTAATAATTTGTTTTATCACTTAAACTGCGGTGTTCTCAGGGATTTCCGGCCTCGAGAAAAACCATGTATTATTCTCTATATGTATAGCATAATAAATAAATTAGAGGAGGCGATGCAGAAACAAATCGAACATTTTGATAACCTCCTTTAAAGGTCTTAAGAGCGCAAAATACCGCAAAACTAAAATGTCCTGCCGGTATAACATTCCACTGTGAAAATTAGGCGAAACAATAAGGAATATGGCTAAAAATCGCCTGCTTGCGCCCGCTTTTTTTATCTTGAAAACAAACTAGTTTCATGCAGCAGCTGTTTGCCAGTATGTGGATTTTTTTAGAAGAGGGCTCCATAATCAGATATATAATATGACCATTATCGAATATGGAATGAAAAATTGATATCCTAGACGTTCTCAATTAAGGACGCTGATCTTCAGGTCGAATAATCCCTTAAAATATTCCTCTCTTCCTTCTTTAACTCGTTTTGCTCGACTTAGTAAAGCCTATTACAGTTGGCTGTACCTGCGGACCGTATTTTGAATTTAAGGCACGTTCACAAACTTTATTCAATAAATTAATGTTTCGTAAAAGCCTGGCTCGTGCCCTGTACGCTTCCACAATTTAATTCGCAAGTAGTTATTAACAACTATATGGTTTGAATAAAACCGGACCTTTTTAAATGTTTTGATCGATGAAAACAGATCCAAGAAAAAAAATTTGTCTGATTGGTCCCTCAGCCGTAAGGGTCTTTCAGGCGGGCCCTTCTTTGTTTTCTTCTTTGTCGTCCGAACGAGAAAAAAGAATGCGCTAATACACTCTCGCTCAAAACTGCGTTACCCAGGAGAATTAACTCTTTGTTAGCCCTTTGAGAACACTTTTAACATAAGAAGTTTTCGGACTAACAATTTACCATTTTCTTTGCTGTATCTGTTTTCGTAATGGCTTAATTCTTCTCCTCTTTTTGAAAACAAGGAGGAGTAACCTCCATTTAGTTATTAAGTCATGATCATGAAATAACACCAGCGGAGCGTAACAGTGCGAGTGTGAAGTATAAGGGAGGGACCCATGCATCCCACTGCGAAGAATAAACCTAAACGATTGGGCCATTTTTTGTAATGTTTATTTTCTTTACGGGGGCTCGCTAAAGTCACGTTCAATTATTTTTCCTTAGTATTGCTCTACGCATCCTCTACTGCGCATAAAAACACGCATAAAAATCAAGAAGTTCTTTCTTGCTCTTGCCGCTTTTTGCGTGCCTTACAACAGAACAGAGCACAGTCAGGGCTTCTATATTTGTTATATATGGAATATTGTGCGCTATTGCTAACTCCATTTTTTTTCGAACGTCTTACAACTCTAGGAATTCACCAATCAGCAGGAGAACTAGTACTTTAAAAGAAAAATAATCGACATCTACAAGAGGTTAACTGGTACTTGTGTGGGTACTTGTTTTAACTCGTACTTGTACGTCAAAACTGACATAGTAATACTGGAAATCAAAGTTAATTAGTTTGTGGATAGCAGGTTTTGAATGAGTTTCCTCTCTCTGAAATAGTGCATGAAAAGAGAATCAGTTAAATCTCATATTAAGTACGAAAAAGTCAATGATTTCATAGAAAACTTCAATTTATGCGAAATTCTTGAATGTTCATCAAAAGGCTTTTGAACACATGACTTGTCACTTGACAACAGTTCGTCGGCCGATTTCCATTCTTGTTTAATATTACATTTGATCATTGGCTAAAATGATGTCTAATGAACCATGTGTTTTGTTCGTTAGACATAAGAGTATCCTCAAATTTCGCCCATAAAAAGCTGACATTAGTCTCAAGCTATTTGTCGTGACTGATGTTAGCACTTATTGTAAAGAACGAAAAATAAAGCTTTTTAAATACAAATTAATGTTTAAATAACAATATCAAGAAATTTAGTTAACAACTTTCTTTTTTTAGCAACTATTCGAAATAGCAACTTTCCAGCATTTTAGGATTCCAATCGGGACAGGCCTAGTCTCAGTGAGGTGATGGCTTTTACGGCTAATTAATGGTAAAATTGTCATCATTTGTTTTCTGTTATTTTGATTATTTTGGTTGTGTCACGATAAACTGATCTCCCCGCTAAGGCCCTGTGATATTCTTACGACCCTCCCCCAACCCTTCATTGGCAGTCAATTTTTTATACTCTCCTCTCTACACTTTGTTGGAGACGATTGACCCCCTCTGTTCCCATTGACATCCATGTGATCTCCCCAGAATCCTATGCCGCCCCTTCGTTGACGGCTGGCCTCTAAAGGATATCGAGAGAAAATTGAAGTATAT